TGATCACTTCCTGGTATTGCTTTTTGAAAACCTTTTTGCACAGTACAATATTTTAAGAATGATCATGGCTTTTTTTTTTTCCTGAGACAGCTAAGCACTTGCTTTGACAGGAGGCAGTCTGAACAAAATACACTAGCAGTAATAAGGAGTCCTCTTCTAAGACATGATGGCCTCTAGCAAAACATTCTGCAGTGTTTAATAGAAGTTTCCAAACTCCCTCTTTACCTTCCACCTTTTTCCCACCTTACCAAATCTTCCGTAATTCAGTATCCATCTTTCTGCTTCATCTCTGTAGACTGAGGCCCTCTAAATTGTTTATGTTTTTAAACACTTTGGAACATATTTCAGTTGATTTGAAGTGAGAGAGGTTGCTTTTCTGTTGAAGTGGTTGGAGGAAATACAAACCTCCATCTTTCAGAAAAGGGAATTCTTTCAGTTTTGATCACAAATGCAATTATTTTTTTTCAAATATAATTTTCTTAAAGGAAGGAATTAACTGTTTTTTTTTCCCCAACTTTAAGAAAAATAAAAGACAACCCACTATTATTCCTTGTGGTGCAATTCTAATACAGAAACAAATGTAGACTGAGTTAAATACCCATGAATGGAGAGATTTGAATAATATTTCTACATAATTTTTGCACCTAATTGTTCTTTTGCAATCTCCATTAAAAAGTACACAAAATTCACTATAGACATTACCTAGTGCAGCTGTAGAGTATTTAGGTGTTAAGGATAGTTAAACTTACAGCGGAGAGAGGTGAAACTGAAGAGTCCTCCACTCTCTAGTTTATCTGGTACCTCTACACTGCAAAAAAAATGATATTACAGAGAAGATACCTGATCTGCAAACTTCAGTAACTCCATGATAAAGCTTTTTTTTCTCTGGTTTCCAAAGAAGAAACAAAAGCATTGAACCAGAACACCTGGTATGTTCCCCACACAAAAGATATCTAAATGAGAAGAAGCCAGGATACATAAAGTGACACTCTAATATCCATACTAGTTCATTAGAAATTAACCCCACAAGCAGGTCAAAAGTCCACGTACCATACTCCTGTAATATCAAATTTTTGGAGCCTCCTAAAAGGAAGAGAGGTGAGACAGGCTGCAGCAAATATGACTGATTCCCAGGCTGTCTGCATGTGTCTACCCCATGTTACCTACCTCCAGGACCCGTGGGACAACATAGCCTGTCCCTGGCGCCCCATCCCCTACCCAGTATTATAACGAGGCTCTCACCCCTTCCTCCACCTCTTGCTGCCTCCTGGAGATAGGTTGCTACATAAGAGTGAAAACAAGTAATTTGTCTGCAGTTAGAAAGTGAAGTACTTTTCAAAGCTTAAATACAGGTTTCCAAAGTCATCATGCATGTTCCTGTGACAATAATGGATTTTACCTGTTAGTCATTCCAGTCTGGGAACTGCTGAACAAACAATAAGGATTTAATCATCTGGAAGTAGATTTTGTGAGCAAAAACATAATATTGGTTTTTAATATACCTTTTTAGCTGTAAAAATATCTTGGCCAACTTTCCTTTGTTGTTCAATGAAGTGTGCTAAGTTGCCCAATTTGACAAGAAAACCTCCAAGACTCCTTTCTGCTGCATCCAGAGGAATTTGGTTGTTCATGTTCCATGAAAGGTATAAATCTTTAGGACATATTCTTGTATCACTTTTCAAGCCTAATATTTCTACAGCACAGAAAAACTTATAGGATCTCATACTTTCATAAAAGTATGCAAATGGTAAATCATGGACAAGAACACAGGTTATTTGGAATGAAAAGAGTTTTTTAGGGCCTACTTCTTTCTCAGTTCATTTGCTTCTAACTTGATAAACACCTTACACTGTAAATTTTTAGCTTCAACATTCTCTTTTTGTGACCATTTAAAGGCCAGAACTTTAGTTAGAAAGGTGTATGGATTAAAAAAAAAAAAAAAAAAAAAAAAAAAAAGGAGGAACAGAGTAGGAAGATTAGTTTGTGTGAGCATCATTCGTTTCCTCAGGTAAATCAAGTACCCTGAGGTCATCATGTAGAAGCAATGAGAAAGTGCTAGTCTTGTCCAGAAAGGATTCTCTTGAATATTTTCATTAACAAAGATAATTGCAATAGAGCAGCTAGTTTTCAAGTACCAGCCTGAATCTCACAGCTCTTCTCCACACAGCAGTGCAACTGAAAGGCTGTGAACACCTCTGACTGTTCAGGACTGATTTGGTACTCCCAAGATGAATGTAGAAGCATTGCATTTATCGACCTGATACCAAAAATATTTGACATATGTGATGTTATTAGCAATCAAGGATGTGAATGTTATGCAGAGGGCTGAATCTCTACAGAATTTCGACAAGAACAGTGTTGCCAGGTATAAGAGCAAATCGCATGATTTATACTAGTGTGTGTAAAGGATTTTTGGTCCAGTGGGACTAACCCAGACTGTGTTTCTGAGAAAATTTGCCCTGTAATGAAAATATCCACATTATTTGTGATTTTGTACAAAGAACGAAGTTACCAGGAAGATGTCTGGTGATCAGATCTGTTCGCAGTGAATAAAATGAGAGCATTCCTCCAAAATTCAGGAACACCAGAAGTGGGGTAGTAATATATAAAAATTAGGAAGAAAAAAGATGTGTTGAGTTTGTGCTTGGTGGGGCTTTGGTAGCAGGGGAGGGAGCTACTGGTGTGGCTCCTGTCAGAAGCTTCAAGAAGCTCCACCAGCTCCAAATCAGATTTGTCTCTGGCCAAGACTAAGCCAATCAGTGCCTGTGCAATAACATATTTAAGAGGAGAAAATCTGCTGGGCGAATTCCTTTGTTTTGGGAGTCCTTTTTTTTTTTGAGAGAGAGACCTTTTTTTTTTTGTTTTGTTTTGTTTTTTTTTTTGAGAGGACTCAGAAAAGGTAGATACAAGCATGCAAACATGGCCAGTGAGGATGGAGAGGGGGAGGCTTACTAGAGCAGCCATCCCCCTTTGGTCCTGCTGAGATCACAGGCCCTTAGAGATCAACGATGGAGAAAAATCCCATCTGCGGCCTGTGGAGGGTCCCACACTAGAGCAGGGGACTGATTCTGGAGAAGTCCATGATTCTGCAGGAAGCCCATGCTGCAGAGGTCTGGCACTAGGAGGGTTACAGCCAGCAGAAGAGACCCACAGTGGTAGGAGGAGTTCGTGGAAGACTGTCTCCTGTGAAAGGGACCCCACATTGCTGCAGGGGAGGACTTTGAAGAGTTTTCCCCTTGAGCAGAAAGTGGCAGAAACAACATGGAATGGATGGGGACTGACCACAGCCCTCATTCCCTGCCCCTCTGTGCCTCTGGATAGGTATGAAGTAGCAGAGCTGGACCCAGGAAAGGAGGTGGTGGAACGGCGTATTTAAGATTGGGTTGTATTTCCCACTGTGTTGTTATTGACACCCGAACCCTGGGATCTCTGCCACCCAACCTCTGCCGTTGGGTACCATCAGCAGACACAGGCTTCAATGTGAAGGATGCTGCAAATGGCGTTTATTGCGCAGCTGCAATTGCTTATATAGCACAA